GCACCCCGCTCCCCGCCGCCCTGCTAGACGGCGCACCCTGCTCCCCGCCTCCTGCGCCGACCCCAGACTCTCAGCAGCGGAGCGACGAGAAGCCCGTCCGTCGGCGGTGAGGTGAGGTGAGGTGGGCGTCAGGGCTCCGCAGCCGGGCTGTTAGAGACACGCTCACGGAATCCTGGTTTCCTTCAGTCTCAGGACGTGACCTGGGATGAGGGAATCCCCGAATCCTAACAGAGCTCACGGCAGATAGTGTGAGGTGCAGACAGGGGCAGGTGGTGGGCAGGGACCGGGCAGTGGAAGCCTAGGACAGTGGCTAGTTTGTTGGAATTCAGATGGCAAAGGTGCAGAGGCGAAGGTGCAGGTCACCCCCACGCCTCGCTTCTCTAAGCACTTTGCAGAACTGGTGAGATGAGCTTTAGCTGGAGCCTGTAGCACGAGGAGTGCAGACTGACCGAGGCCTCCGGAGGACACTCCCTCTCACGGTGGGGAATCACCAGAAGGAGAGCAGCCGCCAGCTGGAGCTGTGAAAACCTGCCTGGGGAGAAGGAAGGAGGTGGGAAGCAGTCTCTTCCAGAGAGTGGAGGTGGTCAGGCAGTGGAAGGGGTGTGCAGTGTAGTAAGAATAGGTTTTCTGAAGCTATAAATCACACAGGAGGAGTCTTGCCAATGTTTCTTCCTCGAAGCCATTGGTGGACTCGAACCACTTGCCTTCGGGTTGACAGCACAACTCTTCACCATTAGGCCGCCATCCCTCCCTGAAAAAGCAGTAGGTTTTTAAATTATTATTGAATCAGATCGCCAAGTCATGGTCGCAGGAAACTGCTGGGAGTGGGTTGTTTTTATCAGCTGAATATCTTGCATCACCAAGAGTTCTGTATCGGTCTTGAAGAGAAATTTATCAGTCTCTCATCTTTTAGCTCCCTCAAGAAATGTGATTTTAACATAGCTCCCTTGTTGTTGATTGCCTTCGAGTGGAGCACGACACATAGTGACCCTAGGAACAAAAGGCCTGAAGCCTTTCTAGAACTATTGACATTTATCAGTTCATAGTTTCCAAAGGCATGTTGTTTCGGAAGTGGTATTTCACAGGAATCAGTGTCACCTGATACACGAATCTATGTTATATCAGATTGGTACCCTGAAAATAAAAAGTAAGCCTTTGTCTAAGCCTGCAAGTAATTCTCTACTTAAAATTTGTTTCATTTATATGTATGAATTGTTATGCTGGAAAGGTGTATAAGAACACATACCCCCCCCCAAAGGTAAATGAAGAGATTACTTTTTTTTTTGTCTCTGTTTTGCCAAATAGTAGACTAGCTTTTGGACTCTATCTTTAATCCTTTACAGTTAGACTTTCATATCAATGCAATTACTTTAAAAAAATTCAGCCACAGTTTTCTGTTACAACCACAAGTTTAACATTTTTAGTTATGCCGGTTATTCTTTACAGGTGACTTACTGGGCACAAAAGTCTTTTTACAATATTAAAGATGGCAGAAGCAGTCTTGATTGATCTATTTTGTTTGAAATGGAACTCTCAGAAAAACCATCAGAAGTTACTGAAAGCTTTGGATGCTGTTCGATACCATCGTGCAGCCAATACCAAGTTCTTTTGCATAATGTGTTGCAATGACATCGGTAGCGAAAATGATGGTGAGCATAATTGTGAGCTGGAAGTAAACCATGAGTTATCTGCTCTCTTGAGAGAATTTGAGACTGTTAGCAGTGCCAGCACAGTTGCCTGTCTGTATACCATTAAACAGAAAATTGATGAAAATAACTTGAGCAGCATTAAGGTAATTGTACCAGTGCACAGGAAGACATTAATGAAGGCTTTTATTGATCAGCTCTTCACTGATGTTTATAGTTTTGAGTTTGAAGATTTACAGATGGCTTTGTGGGGAGGTCTCTTGAAACAACCTACCGGAAGAAACGCTACCACTCAAGACGTGGAAGAAATCCAGAATGAAATAAAAACATATTTGAGAAGTCTGCCCTCACTGAGAGGAGAATTAACCATTATCACATCACCTTTGATTCCAGGTATATTAAACACCATTTGCTGTTTTTACTGTGTACATTAAAAGCAACTTTTTCTTAGAGAATATTCCCCTCCTTTTCCTTTTTTCATCTTTTTAAAAAATTTTTTTTCTATAATTATATTTTATTAATTTTCATAAACATTTACAGAGATTTTGGGTTTCCATTCATTCACCGCTGCACCATTCTCTCTACCCTCCTCCCAGTTTGTTCTTGTCCAAATGCCACAGTGTTTGTCAAAGCCAGTTCTGATTAATCTTCTTTGTCAGTGTGTCCTTTGCCATTCCCTATCACTCCTCCCTGAGAGAGACTTCACCCTGAGTCATAAGGAAAAGGGGATGGCGTATTCTCTTAGCTACTTCCTGCTGAAAAGGGACGCTGTGGGTTTCAGGGTGAAGATCTTCTCTCACTACTCTAAAGGGCCCCTTTTTTCATCTTTATGTTACTGGCTTATGGAATTTTGTACCATGTGTTACTTGACAACTTGAGTTGTCAAGTGCTAAGGATTTAATGGCCATAAGTCCTTTGGAAGCCAACTAAGTAAGTAAATTTGCTCTATGCAGGTTCAGCTTTAAGACAAACCTCTCAGAGAACCCCCTTTAAAATGATATTTGAGACTTAAAACAATTGTTTAGAAATTCTGAGACCGCCTCATTAGTGTGTTCATAAGGGAAATTTAAAATAGTCCTATTTTTTTAATAAAGAATATTTATGCTCCATGTTGTTGGGTACAAAAAGACAAATGAAATTGCAAGTATTTTTTGAAGAGCAGTAATCCCATAGAAAAGTTAAGACAAACACAAAGCAGTGTGGATTAAGAGCACATTGTGCTATAGAAATTAAAAACCAGGTAAGACAGTGCTGATGAAGGGAGGCAAAGAGTATCTTACTGAGAAACTGGGTTTTGTGATGCTTTACTCTCCATTATGCAGTTTTCTTTTTAATTTCCACTACTTATTTTCCAATAGACATTTTCTTACACGGATTTACTACACGAGCAGGTGGAATATCTTATGTACCAACTCTCAGCTCATTAAATCTCTTCAGTAGTTCCAAACGGAGAGATCCCAAGGCTGTAGTTCAGGAAAATCTGCGTAGGTTGGCGCATGCTGCAGGATTTAATGCAGAGAAATTTTATCGAATAAAGGTAAACTTTTACTTCACATTACGTAAATTCAAAAGTATGTTCTTGATTTGATCAGTGACTACATGGGCTTCAATCAAGCCATTTAGCATTTTTGCATCTGTTGTTTTTTTTATAGTTTTAGGATAATGTTTGGGCCAATCTATACACTATGGCCTAAAGATTAAGTCTTTGATTTTATTTTACTGGAAGCTCCTCACTTTTAAAACTATAGCTAAATCTCAAAGAGTATAATAAGTTCCACTACTCAGTTGATTTTAGAAGTTAGGGTCCTGAATGGGGGGGAGAGGAGAGGCTGTTATCTTCCTGACTCAACACAAGGAAAAACAGGGATCTCAATTGATGTGATTGGAGCACTATCATGAGTCTAGGAAACAGTAGGAACATGACTGGTTTGTTAATTGGTTTAACTTCCTTTAATAAAGCAAAAACTTCATGGAAAACACTTCTGGTTAGAACTTTACTCAGTTGTCATTGAGAGACGTTAATAAAGGACTTTTATGTATTAAATACATAGTATTAAATATCTTTTCCTTGGAATATTCCTTTTAATAAAATTCTCAGATTATGAAGTTGGTGGCCTAGTGCCAAGAAGCTGCGCTGCAATCCCAAAGGCACATGGTTTGAGGCTACCAGCTGCCCTGTGGGACAAAGATGGGCAGTCTCCTCCCAAGCAATTATCTGCCTTTGAAAAAGAACCTGCTGGAGTGTCAGCTATGAGTCGGTTCTAACTCGATGGTACACAACAGCATCAATGTTAAATGATGAGTAAATTTGGTTATTTTGTAATGGGTTTTATGCTGTTGGATGGATTCTGACTCAGCAGTTCTATAAGATAGAAGTAACCCCAGGGAATCTCAGGTTGTAATCTTTGTGGGAGCACATTGCTGTGACTTTTCTCCTGAGGGTTACTGGGAACTGCCTGCCTTATTTTTCTGTTGTTATTTGAGTAAATGTTTGCAAAGCAAACTGGTTTTCCATTCACATGCTGCTGAACTTGAATGGCTGAACTGCTTTAAAGGATCTCATTCCAGGCTCCTTCCTTCCTTATGCAGGAGCGGTAGATTGAGTGAATGCTGGTAATCTTACAGTAATTTTGCACATCAGTACTGAAATTGGTACTAAAAAACCTTTGATATGATAAATCTCACTTTCAAAAAAATTTTATTATATACCTTTGGAATTAGACTGATCATGCCAGTGACGTGTGGATTATGGGAAGGAAGGAGCCTGAATCTTACGATGGAATAATCACAAATCAGAGAGGGGTCACAATAGCGGCTCTTGGTGCTGACTGCCTACCAATAGTTTTTGCAGACCCTGTCAAAAAAGCATGTGGGGTTGCTCACTCTGGTAAGTATACACAATCATTTAGGATTTTCCTAATTCTTAGGGTACAGGAAAAATTCTATAGTAAACTCCCTGTGTGAATTCTTCTCATTGCCATCGAATGAAATGACTTACAGCTGACACTCCAGCAGGTTTTCAGAGGCTGTAAATCTCCTAGAGGGAGATTGCTCATCTTTCTCCTATAGAGCTGGTGGGTTCAAGCCTCCAGAGAGGTTAGCACAGCTGTCTATGGACTATGCCAACAGAGCTCTCTGTAAAACCTATAGAAAGTAGAAACCTGCCAGAGAAAGGAAACAATTATTTTTCAGTAAATCAAGTATTGTTTATCATCAAGTAAGAACCAACGCATAGCTGACTCTCCAGCGGGTTTTTAGAGGCAGTATATGACATGCGAGAAGCTTGTCCATCTCATGGAGCAATTGGTGGATTCATTCCAACTGTGTTCCTTCAGGTTAGCAGCACAACTCATTACCATTAAGCTACCAGAGGTTCCAAATAGTAGAAAAATGAAATTAGCCTTCAGAACTCAAAATGCCAGTAGCACCTCTTTATTAGTGAGATCACAGAAAAAGACCTTCATGTTTTTAAAATATTTCCCACTGTACTGCCTCTGGGTGAGAATCTTGGGATCCAGACAACAGGGATAGGAATGTTAGGCATCTGCCGATATGAATGCATAACTGTAATGTGTAAAGGTATGAAGGTAAGAAAAAGCAAGTTAGGTTTGGAAATTTAAGGTGGCTTTAGTCTGGTTGATCCAATGATCCTCTGAAGATTAGCACAAAGAAGAGTTCTTTTAGAAACCATTTGTTGAAAGTTCAGACTCACTCAGAGGTTCCATGGAAGAGAAGCCTGGTGATCTGTTTCCATAAGATTACTGTTATTACTTGTTAAGTTGACTCTAAACAATCTCAGGAAGCAATTCTCCTATGGTAGCATGTGTCCAGCATGGGTCAGAATCAACCTGATGGCAAGGGGTTATTGTGTTAAAGTTAGAGAATTTTGTTTTCTTTAGGTATTTTAGATTATTAGTAGTTACGATTCTATATAAAATGAGAGATAATCTTCTCATTTCCTTCTGCTTTCCAGTAAAGCCCACTTTGCTCTACATAGATAAAGAAGAAAGTAATATATTTTTCTCTTGCCTTAGTTATATTAAAAAGGATGGTTAATGATCAGGTTTGTCATGTGATGTTGTCAAAAGTTATTTTAAATTTGAATCACAGTTCTTATATATAAAATGAGATTATCATTTGTTACTTAAGTCTACTCTTAGATTTTTACTTTTGGTAATTGGATGAGAATAAGAATGGAGACAGTGATTTAATTGTAGAACAAGCATGGGATCTGCTGGAAAGGAAAGTTGGGCAAATGGGGAAAGGTCAGAAAAGGACCTATTGATTGAATATTGTTTGGTGCCATTGAGTGGGAACAGATTCATGGCAGACCCCCAGCAAGTTTTCAGACGCTGTAAATTGCATAAGAGGAGATTTTTCTGCAGTGAAGCAGGTGATGGATTCGAACCGCGTGCCTTTGAGTTGGTAGTGCTACTCCTTAGCACTGAGTCTCTAGAGCTCCCTATTGACTGAAATAGAACAGATTTATTTTGTTTTAAAAGGTGAAGGGAAGAGAGAGAAGGCTAAGAAGGAATAGCCTCAGAAGAAACTTGAAGTATAGGATATTTTCAAATGAAAGTAGAAGGGAATTCTGTCTTTTCTTTATAAGATGCATTATATGTAATATCTCTCTTAAAATCTAGTGCTGTAATGTAATTTTGTGATATACTAATTTTTGGACTTGGAAAACTACACAATTAATGCTGTTTATTTTAACTTAGATGTAAATGGAAGGTGAAATTTAGTTGTGTTTTAACTTCCTTTTTTCCTTTCCTATTTACTAGGTTGGAAAGGTACTTTGCTAGGTGTTGCTATGGCTACAGTGAATGCTATGGTAGCAGAATATGGCTGTAGTCTGGAAGACATTATTGTTGTACTTGGTCCTTCAGTGGGATCTTGCTGTTTTACTCTCCCAAGGGAATCAGCAAAGGCATTTCACAATCTTGATCCCAAATGTGTACGACTACTTGACTCACCAGATCCTTATATTGACATCAGTAAAGCCACCAGGTATGTTTGATTTAAAAATTGCAAGTTTGGTTATAGCTTCTGTCATAATCTTTAAAAAAACTTGTTAGTAATGCCAAGAAAAATTGAGGCAGTAGACATTTAGTAGACTTTTAAATATGTGAATATAACATACGTTCACAAAAACCCACTTTATGAAATTTATTTGCTTTTCAACTTGAATAACAGACATTTTCATATCTGATCTCTCTTACCAATTTAAAAGTAAAGTCAGAAAAAATTGGCACATGATTTTATGAGATAAACTCTTAACTTCATATTTATAATTAGCATGTATTTTACTTCACAGACGTTCTTCAATTAAATTCTCTTAGTTGTAATAGATTATGAGGAAGCTAACATTTTAAATGATTCTTAAATTTTTTTTATTCTTAATTTTTAACTAGACAAATGTATTTCTTAGTAAAATGTGGGATAATATAAACATACAGTCATTCTTCATGACATTTTTATAACGTCATATATTCCTGAATTAATGACGTTTTCTATTAATAACTGCTAAAAAATACTTGTCATTTCTACAGAGGAGAATTGCTGTTTCATTTGAATTGTGTTTCTGTTCCTGTCAGCAAAACCTTGCCTAAATTCTGTTCCATAACGCACATAAGTACTAAGGATTGAAATTTATTTTTAAATGTGACTTGTGGAATAAATATCAGTAGTGTTTAGTCATATTTCATATAAAGTGTCTGTGGAGAAACACGTATTTTGTGAAAAATATTGTTAATAGGAGGAAAGGCCATAAGAAGGCCAGCTGATCAAAAGCTTGTTATATCTGAATCGAGTGAGTCTTGTCTAAAAACATAAGGTTCCATTTGAGTAAATAGTTTATTTTGATTGTAAAATTCTGAACTCAAAAATTTCTGCCAGAAAATATGGTTAATTTATGACTTGTATAACAAATGCTTGTAGACATTTCCTGACTAAACTGAATAGCAGTTTACATTGTTCCATGTAGGTCTTTCTCATAACTCTATTATATCAATACCCATACTTTTTTCACATTGTTTTGGCTATTGGTAAATTAAACTAATCCTATCTTTCGAAAAATCTTTATCCTAAGGGTTCTTCTAGAACGAGGAGGAATTCTTCCACAGAATATTCAGGATCAGAACGAGGAACTCAACCTGTGCACATCCTGCCACCCCAACAAGTTTTTCTCCCATGTTCGAGATGGCCTTAATTTTGGTACACAGGTTGGCTTCATATCCATCAAAGAATGAGGTAGTGGCTTCTCTCTGCCCTCTTGCTCTGCTGCCTTTTAACTTTCTCCTCGCCCATTTAAAAATAGAATTAAGAAACTTCTAGGGGCTATGGGACTATTTATAGTAATGAATTAGGAAGTTCAGATAGCTTAGTGATAACGAGTTGTGCTGCCCAATGCAAAGGTATGTGGTTTGAATCTACCATCTGCTCTACAGGAGAAAGATGGACAGTCTCCTGTGTGAGTAATTAACTGCCTCTGAAAACCCAGTAGAGGGTCAGCTGTGGGTTAGTTGTGACTAGATGGTAGGTACACAGCAACAAATAATTAGGGAGCTTTGGCAGGCTGGAGGGTAAGGAGTTGCGCTGCTAGCCCATTGGCAGGCAGTTTGAATCTCCCAGCTTCTCCGAGAGACAAATTGGCAGTCTCCTCCTATTCAATTTACAGCCCCTGAAAACCCATTAAAAGGTAATTTCCAACTCTACAGAACATAACACTGTCAACAATAATAGAATTAATTAAATTTAGCTTTGCTCTTTTTTTCCCTACAGAAAACGTTTTTTCATGAAGCAGTAGTGTTAGAAAGGTTCATTTTCAGTGACATACTCTATTCCAACAAGCACCACTGCTTTTCCTAGTTAGGCATCAGTTTGCTCACAGCATAGAAATAGAGTATATTATTCTTAAGAATTTTCTGTATATAATCTATTCATCCCTGTTCTGTGCTTGATGGATTGACACAGGGACTGTATCAGTGAGCTCAGCTATATTAATGGTGAAGAAGATGGCACAGGATAGTGCAACGTTCTGTTGTTAATAGGGTTTCTGTGAGTTATAGTTACTCTACTTGACAGTAACAACATCTGTGTACTTGATACCTATTTCCTATTATAATGGACCATTGTCTTTAATTTTCAATATTTTGCCTTGGATTTTTAAAAAATAAATCTTTGCATTAAGGTACAGTAAATATTAGCAATACTATCAAAACAATATTAAAATATTATTTGTATATTGTATGACAATTACAAAATTAGTTCATAGACTGAGGAAACTGAGAAGGAAGAAAAGGGAACTGGAACAAGAAATCAAAAGACTAGATGTTAATTCCAGCCCTACCACAAGGAACTGTAGGAGGTATCAGGAAAGTCCCTCAAGGACATGGTCAAGCCCCTTGTTTGCAAGATCAGTAGAATTACTTAGATATCCTCTAAGCCAGTGGCAGACTCTGGTTATGTAATTGAAGGCTGTGAAGATGTTAGCAGTCATTTGAAGAAAAATGAGACTACTGATTCTTATCTTCACATTTCTATCAGGCCTGTCAATGGGAAAGACAGACTTCTAAGTATTATGACATACTCTGACCAGACTGGTTCACTTAAGTAATCCAGCTTTTGGTTAATGTATAACCAAGTAAACCTGAATTCCTAACTAGAGCTAAAACGGTAATTTTAAGAGACTAACTGTGACACTGAGAATAAGAATTCCTCGACCTGACTAGAGATATGTGGAGTTTTTTGATAAAGGCCTCATCACACCATCATTTTAACATCAGCATCAGATTTCAATGACAACTCAGTAATAAAGGGTAATTTTTTGTATGATATTGAGCTTGGGAAATAGAGTATTTCATGAGTAGTTTTTATGTATAAAATTCTATAATGAGAAATCCTCAACAATACAAATTGGCTTGGTTTTCAGCTTGATTTCCAGTGGGCTGACTGTAGCAGAGATTGGGTAGCTTTTCTGTAAAGGTTGATAGAAAATATTTTCCATTTTGAGAACTATACAGTCTTTGTGTCAACTAATGAATTCTACTGCAGAGTAAAAGCAGACACTGAGACTATAAAAATTAGTGAGTGGCTGTATTTCCAAAACATTCTTCAAAATGAAATAGGTAAAGGGCCCCATTTGGCTATAGGCTATAATAGACTTAAGTCTATAGTCAGAGAGCAAAAGTGAACGCAGTTTTATTTAACTAATGTTTGTCCTCACATACTCACTCATTGCCATCAAATCAGAACTGACTGATTGCTGACCTTCCAATGGGTTGCCAAGGCTATAAATCACACCAGAGGAGAATTTCCTCCTTTGTCTCTCAGCTGCTGGTGGAGTCAAAGTGCCAGAGAATCTCAGCCTCAGGTTTGGCAGTGCACCTCCCTGTGCTGTTTGTTGTTGATTGTTGTTGTTGTATACCATCACATCAGAACCGACCCATAACTAACCTTCCAACAGGTTTTCAGAGGCAGTTAATTGCACTGCCCATCTTTCTCTCAAGGAGCAGTTGCTGTATTTGAGCCATGTGCCTTCAGGATTACAGCGCTGATTCTTACCACTAAGCCACCAGAGCTTGGCAGTATTTATTGTTGGTTGTTGTTATTGTGTACCGTAGAGTCAGAACCGACCGCTAGCTGACCATCTGGTGGGTTTTCAGAAGCAGTTAATTGCAGGGGAGGAGGTTGCCCATCTTTCTGTCACGGAGCTGCTGGTGGCTTTGAACCATGTGCCTTCGGGATTGCAGTGCAGCTTCTTGAGACGTCATTTAGCACTGCCTCTTTGTTGTTAATGCGAGAACCCACTCAAGAGCTGACTCTCTAGCTAAACTGCGCGAGGGCAGATTGCCTGTCTTTTTCCTTGGACAGGAGCTGGCGGATTGGAGTTTTTAGGTTGGCAGCACAACTCCATACTACTGGACCGATAGCCCTCCCTAACACATCAAATTTTCCTTCTGGTTGCTTTTAAAAGAATTAACTTTTTTCTTTGTCTTTGCAGTTGTTTTAACTCTTTAATATAAAAAAATTTAATAAAGTTTATGGTCCTTGCTTCTTTTTCTAATAGCTCTAATAAAATGTCTTACACTGGATTTCTGTTTATTTTACAGAATTTGGATTCTTGCTGAACTATTTCCCATCTCTCCTCTAAAGAAATGGCAGGAATGCATTTTAGCTGTTTGATTGACTTAAAACCAAAAGGATTACAGCAAAACATTCATCTATAGAGTATATTTTCACTCTTCTCTGGAACACAAGAAGTAACTGACAAAATAAAATCAGTGTAATGTTGATAATGTTATACAGATGACGATTATTCAGTGATTTGAGCTTTGCTTTGCTTTTAATTTGAGCATTGCTATTAAAGGCACATAGGAAATATTCCATTCTGTTCAGAAGAGGAATTAAATTTTTTTAATCAAATGAGCATTTATGGCATGATTTTTAGGGGAAGTAATTATCAATTAAAATTTATTAGATTATTTGTCTGATTATAAATTTAAATTGTGAGAAATAGCGTCATGATTAAACTTATACGCCAGTGTTTTATGTGAAAAACAATGTATATGAACTTTATAAACTTTGTAAGTAAACCAGTATAAAATAAAATAATTTTTTAAAAAACCAAATATAAGGAAATGATGTTACCACTAGGAGTCAGTATTTGTACAAGTAATTCTGCTTAATTTCTTAGTGTCTATTTGAACTAACCCTACTCTCTTTCTTGTAAAAAAACCCCCAAAAACCCAAAAAACACAACAAAGCAACCAACTACACGGCTTCATTCAGATGCAAAATATTGTAGTTCAAATACATAAAAAGAAGTTAGGAAGATTCACTCCCACCTCATTCTCTCTCCCAGAGTCTTCATAACTGCTTTCCTGTCAGTTGACTTTCAGGGAAAGGGCTCATTCTGTGTCAGATGACAAAAACATAAATAGTACCCAAGACTTCAGGAGAAGAAGGATAAAAAGACAGTGAGGTCTGAGTTTCATCCTTACATCTCAGAGTGGAATGTACGTACTGTTTTCATGTTACAGTGTTTTTATCCTGCTTTTTTTTTGAACCCTCAGAGAATCTCTGAAATTTTAGCACCATAAAGTCAATTGGTCAATTACCTGTATGTATTTATGTATGGGTCAGTGTGTGTGTTCAGTATATCACATCTTCGGCCTAATGAAAATCTACACAAAACCACATTAGATTCAGTGGATTGTAGATTTCTTCACAAAATTTTTATAAATTATAGTGCAATAGATAATAGGAAACGTGTGTTTATGGAACCTTGGTCAAGGGTACATATATTTGTGTTCTTCAGCTATCTTTACAACCTTAAATCCTAGGCATGCAAGTGATTTCAAACTTGCCTGATCAACAGAAGGTTGTAGGTTTGAGTCCATTCAGAAGCACACCTGAGAAGGACCCAGGGATCTACTTCCAAAAAGCAGTCTTTGAAAACGCTGTCTTGTCGAAGAAAATTCTACACTGACATGTATGGGGTCACCATGAGTGGGACTTGCCTTAACAACTGATTGTTCTTGCAGTTTCAAATGTGAGACAGCTTCTCAAAATTAACGCATTGTTCTGTGCTAGACCACTACCCAATGAAGGAAAAGGAATATGCCAGCGCTGCTGTTCTTTGTGTTAACACATTAAATGTGGATTCATCAACAGTGTGCAGATAAACTTGCCGTCTTTCCCTCGATGCATTTCCTTTGCAGGGAAAGAAGTGCTTCCATCACTTCCCTATCCTTGTGATAAGGGCCCGAGGTCAGCTTTGCCTGTTTTGTGCTTGGGGCAGACTTTTTGTTTTAACTAATTCACATAAATCCGAAGAGTCCAGTTACCTACTATTAGAAAATTTCCAGCAGATTCTAGAACTCAGAATACCATCTTCTGACAACATCAAAGAGTATCCTCATTTCATGCAAGAGATTTGTTCATAGTGAAAAATTAACTTTCAATGTCCTTCCTTTTCTTCATTCTTGGTTTTGTACCACTCGGTGCTTTATTTTACATCACACCAGTGCTCCCCTGCCTTTGTCCTTTCACTGAGCACATTTTCAAGGTTTTTTAAACTTACCTCTTATCATTCTTTAATTTTTTTCCTTTTGTTGCTACTGTTCTTATTATGTGCCATCAAGTCACTTGTGACTCATAGCGACACTATGTACAACAGCCCTAAACTCTGTGCTCTATCCTGTGTCAATCTAACTCTGACACACCCTATCCCAATTACCCTAGTCAC